CTGGGCTTAAGATTCCCTCGTGTTTCTGACTATTAAAATGCAGCAGCCACAGCCTGCGTGTTCCTATGCCAGCCGAGGAATGCAAAGGAGAGGGCTGCATTGCTCTGATTTATGGAAGGAATCAGACAAAAAATGTCACTCGGAAGGACTGCAAATGGATTTTTTTTTATTATTTTTTTTAATTCCAGATTCACATTGAGTGCTAGGTGAACATATCCCTGCTTATAAGCTTGGGAAGCTATTTCAGCACTATCTCTGTATGTTAGCAATGTTGTTATCTGCTAGATCAAGTTATAGGACCAGGGAATGGGAGAATACTGGCGTGTGATACCTAGAAGGAGGTAAACTGCAAGAGGGATTTGTTTCTTGTTCCTCATAACCCTCACCAGTTTTATCGGCATCATTTTAAGCAGATAAAGATGCAGATCCACTCAAGCCCATCCTGATGTGGGCAGCAGTCCAAAGGAGCATCGCTGGACTCTGCAACAACCTGATCTATGGGCAGATGGCTCCAGAGGTCCCCACAGGGGCAAGGGTTTTTCTTACGGGGTTGATTTTAGTGCTTTGGACAGAAGTACATGCAGTGGAGCCAGTAGATAAAAGGGAGGCTTTTGCAGGAAGCGCAGGGCTGTGAGCATCCTTCCTCAGCAAAGCCACCAGATGCATCCTGCCAGGCCAGGCATGAAGTGCAGGTGGCAGAACTGATTGGGGGTGTCACCTGGGACCATAGGAAACCAGGGAATGTGACCGGGTAGGCACCTTTCTTCCCTCGGGAATGAGTACAGGAGTGGCCCTGCAGCCCTCTCTCCTTTCCTGTTGTGCAGCAGGGAAGGCTGCTTTGGATCACAGCGCCCAGAGGGCTGGGTGGAGGTTTTAGTGCTGGGCAAAACAAGGGCTTTATTTAAATGACATAGCTGCACATGTTTAGAAAAAGAAGTGAAGTTACCAACCTGATTTTTGTTGTTTTAGTTGTGTAAACTAAATACGACATAGTGTTATGTGCTAGTTTGGGCCAAAGCTCTTGAAGAACTTGCTCGGGTCTTGCAGACGTTGCTCAGGTGCAGGCGATGAACTGAGCCACCATCACACACCACTGGAGAGGACAGAGGCCGAGGACAACCTAAAGTTGGCCCATTTGGCCCATAAATAAGAGCAGCCTTCCAGTTTCTGAGTATTCATTTCTGTTTAAGTGGATACAGGAGTGCTTCACCCTCTGCGGGAGGCTGGAAATTTCTTCCTAAGGATTTTGTTGAAACGCAAATGTTTTGGGAAGGGAAAATAAATATGTTAGTTATTGAAAAGGCAGTTGGAAATGGACGTGTTTGGATGTTGGGAACAGGGGAAATCATCTGCTTAAACAGTGACTTGTTTAATAATAAACTTTTAATGGGGAGGAAGTAAAGATGGAGGTTGATCTGAGCTGAAGTTAAATGAGGTGAGTTAGGTGTATCCTGCTTGTTGAACAGCAGAGGAATAAGGAAGATATCAGAGCACTTTGTAATTCTCTTATGATCTCACATACATATTCTGAGTAAAAATATAATATGTAAATTACTTCCTTGCATGAATTCCAAAGACGGCAATTTGCAGATATTAGGAGTTCAGACTCATCGCTAAGGAAAGCACAAAGTTATCTGTCAGTTCTTGTTATTTTGCTTCCAGAAAGGAAATGTCAAGATCAACTGGAACAAAAGCAAAACTTTTGGACCACCTTAAAACTGCAGTGGGACAATCAAATAGAAAATAGAGAGCAGAGCTTTCTGATAGCCAGAGAGAGAGTAAATGGTCTGCTAGAGCTTTTTCCATCTTTTTTTTTAAGAAAATATTGTTTTAATAATATAATGGAAGACTGAAATGCTATTTTAGTCTGCTAACATGAAGATACCATGTTTGATTACTCATTTCATTCTCTGACAAAAGAAACATTACCATAAGAGAGAATCACTTACAATATCACTTCATCTCATTAGCAGACCAGTATAGTTTACAGGCAATCACGAATATTGTTTTTTATCCAACATCTTACATACATATTGATTTTTTTTTTAACTTCATCTGTAGAAGAGTCTAGAATTGCTGGATAGTTTTTACTGCCTAATGGTTTTAGCTACATTTTCTCCAAAATGTCATTTTCTCCCTGGGTTGGCTTCTCCCTGGGAGAATTTTTAGTTATATGTATGAAAGCTTGGGGTTTAGTGTATTTATTTTTCCCTAATCTAAGGGAGTAAATTAGACAATTTTTAATGTATTTAAACCAAGACTGTTTAGTACCATATACTAAACCATTTTCAACTACAGGATATAGTTGTATCTCCCTGTCTCCTCAACCAACATACTGTGTTGTAGAAGAGGGCGGCTACTACACACACATATAATTCTGTATTTACACCAATTTTTAGATGTTACCTTTTTAGATGTCACTTCAATAGGTTTTAAATTAATGCAAAGTTTGATTATTCTTGAACTGACTTTGGTTTGGGAATATGTTGCAGATTTTCATTGTTTAACGTGACAGGCATTTACAAAATGCCTTGTAGTGTTAGCAGTGCTGGGCTGCATCATAGCAGTGGAGTCTTTTCTTTTAGTAATCATAAATACTTTAAATATTTTCTTGAGAATTTTCCTCTCAGTCTCCACATTATACAAATGTAAATACAACAGGTAGATGCTATGAGGTAGACTTTAAGTATCAAAGGTTGAAATCTAACTAGATAAGCTAATCAAATTCTTCTCAAAATAATTACTGTTGCCTCTCCGCATTTATTGCAGAAACAGTGACAGACAAATTTAATCTGAAATATATTTAGGTGTGCCTTATTCTGAGGACATTTTGTTTTACGTGCCTAGTAGAGACAGCTAGTTCCAAGTACCAAAGTTCTCCATTAAAGCTGCTGGAGTCAGAGATGTTCATCACCTATGAAAACTCATGCCAAGTGTCTGAGGCTGGCATGCAAAAGGAGGCTCACAACTAGTGGGTGTTTTAATAAAATGTAAGCCATGCTGTCTGTGAGAAGTCCTGGGCAGGAGCTGTCCTGGCTGTGCTCAATAAAGTGTTGTACGTTTATAATGAGGTGACAATAGTTTTCATAGGATGTAAGAGCTCTCCTTTGATCTCCTCCTCCTGCGCCCTGTAGCCGTCCTCTATACAGGATGTGCCAGCCTTGCTCGGGCAGGGAATATGTGGTTCCCTTGTGTCTGGTAATAACCCTTTTGGCAGAGCTTGTTGATGCTGGAAATGGTTCCTGTTGACTTGCTGAATGCATTGGCACAGAGTGAACACATCCAGCAGCAAGACCTTCAGAGCTCAGGGTGGTTTTCTTTCCCTTTTCGCTAAAACGCTTTTCGTTTTACATTTGCATCCATTACAGCTACCATCCACCTCAAACCCTGCTCTAAGTGCTCAGGAATCATTTGTGCATCCATAAAAAACACGGAGGATAACAGCACCTTCCCCAGTGCGGTTCACTTGAACCTGCTTGTAAGCAAAAACTGAGCAGGAAATTAGCTGTCCTTTTAATGCTGCAGGATGGGAACACTCTCTAATCCCACTGAAATGAGAAGTTGAGGACATTCAAAATATTTGTGGCTCTTTTGCTCCCCAGCCTCTCTATCTGCCTGCAACACCCTGGATTATTCACTGGATTATTGCTGCTTGATCTGCAGAGCTGCAGCTCTCATCAGTGAAATATCACTCCTTGGAGGGCAACTGCAGTGTTGGAAAAGGACTGAAGAGAGGCACTAAGTAGGGGTCTTTACTGAAAAATTTCCAACAAGAGTTAGGATTTTCATTCGAAGACACACTGCACCATTAATACCTGTATAAATAAAAAAAGGTATTAATGTATAAATAAAAACACATTAGAGGTTAATCAGTTTGCAGGTTTCTCGGTGAGTGCTTCTATTCTCTTAGTTTTAAGTCACTAGTATGTAAAAGCCATCTAAAAGAGACTGCTTTTATTAAAAAAAAAAAAAGATATTCAAATAACACTTATTTAAACTGCTTTACCTATTACTGCTATAATCATAAGATATGGTAGCTCTCCCCTAGACATGTTAGAAATATTAGTTTCTTAAGTAAAGATGCTTCTTGAACAGCTGAGTTGCTAATTTTTTCACTCTAGCATCTTAGTTATTACTGAATTGTGTTGCATAGTTTCCATTAAGACCAACTCCCCTTGAAAATGATTTATGCTGGCAGGAGGGAGTTGCCCTTGTTTATTTACTGATGTGCAGCTCTACCAAGAAACGTGGGTGTTTTAACTCGGATTTTGCAGTTGGGTGTGGATGTCTGCTGGTTATTAAATGGATAATAAAGATAGTTTTAATGATCTGCTTGATCACAGTTCAGAACTGCAGTAAGAATATAACCTGAAGGTAAAGCTGAGCTGCATATATCTGTTAAATAAAATCGGGATGCTTATAAGAGAAATGATCTACTATCAACATTGACTTCCAGCAAAAAGATTTGAACAGTCATTCCCTCAAAAGCCGCTGGTTGAGATACTGTTAAATCCAACTGGTTGAGATACTGTTAAAACAATGAAAACAAAAAAAAAAAAAACACAAAACAATTAATGCTCTTGTTATAAGAGCTTTATCTTGCTTTATCTTGTCATTTGTTATAATGGAGAATCCACAGACTAAAAGGAGTATTAAAAATCATAATGATAAAAGTAATATCAGTGTTGGTGGTAATTGTCATTTTATGCCATGTTAGGAATAAGGAATCAAAGAGGAGCTTAATGTAATGGAAACTTTCAGCTCTCTTAACTCGTCACTGTGGCTGCTTAGACCATGGATCAGACAGACAAACCAGTCAAATCATGAGAAGTTTTAATGGGAATGTGGAGTAAGTCCCGTTTATAAACACGAGCATGAAATAGGTATTTTGTAGTCTGGGAAAAGCTGATGAAAAGCTACAGGTTCACTGTAAAGCTGAGATTTCTGTCTGCTTTTCTTCTGAGCTGAACTTTAGTAATTATCCTTTTGGTTTTTTACAGCCTCTGGCCTCTCCTCATCTCCATCCACCCCAACACAAGTGACCAAGCAGCCCACGTTTCCTCTCGAATCCTATAAGCATGAACCAGAGAGACTAGAAACACGGATTCACTGTTCCTCACCTCCGGACACAGGGCAGGGATTTTCTTTGCCTCCATCCCAAAGTGCAGCCAAGCCTCCTATAATGACTCCAGCTCCTTGTGCTACCTCAAAACCAGTAAGTAATACATTAAATAAAACGTCCATGGGGAAATGCATAGGGTTGTGTGCAAGGATTGCTTATTTTATGACCGTCAGTCTCTAAATTGATCTGTAAATTGATAAGAAGGATAAAATTTTGTTCAGGATCATTTACTTCCCTTAAGAAGTGCTGATAGGAAAGCCACCAAGGAGAAACTGAGACCTGGAACAGCAGGTTTGGGACCTAATGCCTTTGGAGTCTGCAGTGCCTGGGACAACCAGGGTCAGCTCACTGTATTTGTTTCCCTTAGCTCTTCCTCTTTTTCCCAGCATGTAAAATCTTTCACATTTTCAGCCTATTTTTTATGCCTAATTTTATGACCATTTGCCCTGGCTGCTGTTTTCATTCAGTGTTTTTTACATCCTGTTACACTTCTGGCCAACCTTTGTTTTTCTAGACTGAGCAAGCTGAAGTATCTCTGCAAATTACAGACTTCTTGCTCTGCAGCTAAGTCCCATTTTGCTTCTGGTTCCCTTTACATTCATTCTGTTGCTGAGATCTTACCCGGGCCAATTCAATAACACAATTGGAAATATTTTTCTTATAAAATCTCTTAGCTTCTTCATGACCAGGTCATGCTGATAGTTCATGTTGGCCAGAATACTTGTCTTCTTCCTGTTTTTACACCTGATGAACTCCTGCTTTATAGCCATTCTTGAAAATTTGTCTTCAATTTGAAAATTTGTCTTCAATTATATATATTATTTTCATTTGCAGTTATCTTTGTGGTGCAAATACAGGGGAATCTTTTCCATTCCCTTCCATTCTTGGTTCCAAGAAGGAACCAACATAATCTTAGGCATTCCAGTGCCTAAGTTTATTTGCTCTTTAATTACTTGCTGATTGAGATGGTGTGAATTTGAGTGGAAGGTGACAGAAGAAATAGAATTAGTGGCAAGTGTTTATAAATTGGTGTGGCTGTATATCTGTACATGAAAAAGTTTCTCTGCAAACTCAGTATATAGGACCTCATTATCTTCTGTACAGAAGACACAGAAATTTGCATAATGCTTATATATAGGATGTATAGGATCCAATTAGCTTTGTTGTATCTGCTGTGCTCATTTACCTCTGGGAAGAAGGAGTGTGCAGGGCTGCTTGGGAATCACCAGGGCTTCACTTTGCCGGGGAGCCGATGTCAGCAGCTCCCGCTCAGCGAGGAACAAAGCTCTTCGTGTTTCATTTTCAGCAGACATCATAGACGTTGTAATAGGAAACTGTTGGGCTACATTTCTACAGGAGGACATGAATCTAAAGCTGATGAGTGTTTGCTCAGGACTGTTTTGTCTTTTGATGATGGCAGAGTCTAATTTTTCCCTGTAATTGGCCTTGCATACGGCAACAGGAGACAATGACCTAGATTTGAGTTTGCACTTCAAGCATTTTGTTATTTCCATTAACCCCGAGTTTGGTTTCTGTTGCATGTCAGCAGACGTTTGTTTTCATAATGCATAGGCCATAAGCAAATCTTAGAAAGGCAAACTCATTTACTGACATCACTGCTGTGGGCATGACAAATCCAGTTATCTTAAAAACACACTCTAAATTATATGATAAATGTTTCACACTGGAAACATGGTTAGATGTACAGATTAGTGAGAGGGAAATTTCTAGGCTGACATCAGGAAGAAGTTAGCTCTTATCTACAGGGCACTATCAGCTGAAGTCTCCCTTTACGTATTACAGTGTGTACTTAGCAGTGTTAATGTGTGATGGTTCACAATTGCAGTAGCAGAGACGAACCCTTGGACCCAGACCCTGAAGTGCAATAAAACATACAAACAAACAGACAAAAGAAGAGCAGGTGAATTTAGGAAGGTGCAGTATAAGATCCTGGAACTAATCTCAACACATTGCTGTAATTATTTGCATTTTGAGCTCATTGTGCACATATATATTTTGTTTGTTTGTTTGTTTTTGTATGTCTGTGACTCTGCTCCTGAAGTGTTAATTCTGCTCAATAAGAAAGAATGCATGGAAAAAAAACCCAGAATTTATTCCTCTGTAGAATAAATCTAAAACTAAATCTAAAAGTGTTTTTATAGCACTTAGAAAGTGTTTATTTTAATGTGATTTTTAAGCTTCACATTCTGGAGAGGGGAATGAAAAACAGAAGACAGTTCCTGACAGAGGGAGAGGCTGCTCCAAGGAGTATCACTGTAACACAGTATACAAACCTAAATAATTAACCCCATGCTAAATGGATGTCTGTGATAATCACTAATACCCGGATTTATCCCACCTAACTTTAGAAACTTATCTGAGCTGCTTAAGCTGGGAGTATAGCAGCTCTAGTTGTCTCTATATTCAACAGAGAGGCATTTGCAGAGGATGAATCGGGTCTTAAGTGGGTTGAACAGCCTTTTGCACTGATTATAAAGGGAGTGACTCCAGGTGTTGCATTCCTAACCTTCAGCCAGGAGCCCCAAGCTGGATGTGATGAGCCTGTCCCATAGCAGGGCAGCACCTAATTCAAGCTTTGCTCTGGGTGTGTGTGTTGGTTTCTTCCAGCAGTGGTGTTAGAAGGTTAAATTCAGCTGATAAGAGATCAAAGCTAAACCAAAAGATTAGTGTGCATCACGTTAAATGGGGCAAGAGCGACTGGATTTTTAACTGGGCAGTTCATGACTCCGTACTTTGGCCTTGTGCTGTTTAGACTGCGTAACCTTCAGGCCCTAAGTGCTGAATGATAACTTAATTCTTCTCTAAAGTGACATTACTAACCATGAAAGGAATGCAGAGAGGTTGCAAATTCAATAACAAACATGTTTTCCCTGTTTCTGCTTTGCTCGTATTTTAAAGAGGAATGCAGTATGTTGAGCTTAATGCGGTTGTATCATTCATATTTTGTCCTTTCTTCTTCCACCGGCACATAAGGCACTATGAAAATAGCAGTATTCCCTGTCTCCCCCAAACATATGCATTTTTGTGGTATATCATTTCCTAGTCTTTATGGCCTTTCTCTTTCCCTGCATGAGAAGAGTCCAGGCCAGGGAGGGAGGCATTGCTCCAACCTGAGGAGTTCCCTCTGAGGCCTCTTTTTCTGGAAAAAAAAAACAACAAAATAAAGCAAATTTGGGAACTTCCTCTGCTTAGCAGAAGGAGGCAGAAGTTGCAAAAGGATCCTTCCATCTGACTGTGAAGTCACCCACCCATCTCGAGACTTCAAGCCTAGCAATTTCCCAGCACTTTCTCAAAAAGAAATGCCATCTCAGCCAGAAAGTAGGCTTAGACTTACCCTTAGCTTGCATAAATCCCATTAAAACCACAGATATGAGACACGAGGGAAACTGGAGGGGTCCGGTGTGCATCTGTTTTCCAGAGCTGTAGCATAAGGAAGAGGAGAGGTGGAAAATACAGCTGGGAGTCTCCCTTCCAGGCCTAGGCAGCAAGTGGGAAACACTCATGAGCTCCCTTCTTGTTAAACAGTAGCACTTCCCTGCAAGGCTCTTGCTGCTGTTCCTTGGCCAAACCGTAGTAAAGTCCCAAACGCGGTTGTTAACTGGTTCAGTGTGAAAGGCTTTGGCATCATCCTGCTGCTGGCACGGAGCCTGGGCACCACGATCCCAGCAGCAGCTCCTTCCTTCTGGCTCCCCAAAACTCCATGGCACCTCTCAGAGCGCCCCGATCAAGTTGGCTGATTAAAGAGATTTCCATCTGGTGAGGAGAACAGGAAAATGTTCTTTGAGTCCGACACCGCCCTGAACAAAACAAAAGCAGAGGTTGGGGAAAAAAAGAAAAGGAATCCAGTCTGCAAATGTACAAGAACTCCTTGTTTCAGCATTCATGTGGTTTAAGGCCATATACTCGTGTGCCAAGACATGGCTGTGATTCAGCCTTGACTTACACCATAGCAAACTGATTTAGTGGTGAGAAAACTCTGGCAGTATTTTTGGGTCTAGGCTAGTTTTCAGTGCCACAATATCGGCAATTCTTCTGGGAGATGAGTCTGTTCTCCAAATGATCTTATGGGTTGTAACATGCCATTAGTGTTTAAACAATTCTCTCTGCTATTGCTGTCCAAGTGGAAGTGTATTTAATTTTAAAATGGTATACATTTGTTCAAAAGTTGAAATATAACTAGTTGTTGCGGACCTAGTAAATGAATAGTTGTGCAAATGAGCTATGTAACAATTAAGTATGGTTGGAAAGTATATAGTGAGTCACTGGGATATAAAAAAATAATAAAAACATAATATAAAGAATAAAGTCTGTGAATGTATATGGAATTAAATGTTAAAAATTAGAAAGGTTTGAATATACCACACACTGCTACTGATGAATTACAACAATTTTATTAATATTCTGCTTCGTCATTTTACCTTCTTCCTATTATCTTTTATTCCACATTTGGTATTTTTCTCTGTTTTCGTATTTAAAATATGTGACAAGCAGCTTATGAACCATTTTGTAGCAGTTAATTTACTTTTTTAAAAACTGCTTATTTGGTTTTGGGGGAAAAAAAAGCAAAGTCACAGCATCCTGAAACTCTGGTTTCTGATATATTTGTGTTCTGGTTGCAGTGTGCACATTCATGGCCATCAGTCTTAAGATGGAGAGGAATTATATGACATAAATTCCTCTACCCCAAGGAAATGAGTACCTCTTTCAGTCTGTGGCCCTCTCTGAAGCCACAGAGCTACATTAGTCAACTATCTATGGATTTGCTCAGTGGGGAATTTATTTTAATGGCAAAAAGTTGCCCAGTTCCTGTTCCTCCCAGTCCCAGATCAAAAGGAGACATTAGGTAGAAAGGGCAAAGAGCCAGGATGCTGAGTCCCAAGAATTCCCAGCTGCTTTGACAGCTCTTGTGAGGCCGTGGGTAGCTTAGGCAATTAAAACCAGGGCATTTAGTCTATTCTAAGTTAGACATTGGCACCAAACTTATGACCCCGGCATCCTGAATAGAGACCTAGTAGCTTAAAGCTAAATGAATTTTATTGCCCTGCACTATGCATGGTATAAAAAGGCTAATC